AACGAGGCCGTCAAGTCGAGAAAAACACGATGAGTGAGTTTACCTGAGAACACCGTCACCGTTTATCAGATAACACGAAAAAAAACTCCCGTTCAAGCAACAAACACGAAACTTTGTGTTCTGATAAAACTTAAAATCTTATACGTTATTGTTAAACGAAAAAGACAACTAAAAAGGAGAAAAATCTGGAGGAGGAAAGCTCGAGCTATTATTTAAGCATTTAGGATCATGATCTCACTCAACGCTGTGCTTATCTTATAAAAATCTATCTGAGGCGGTTGTGTTGAAATCCACACGTATGTGAAAAGGCAAGACTTGATAAGATTCCTGGACAGTGCCAGCGGGATACTTTGCATGTCTCACAGACACATCTTGTTGCTGACAGATTGATGAAGTGCACTGCGTGTGTGAAGAAAGCTTAACGCAACGTTCTTTGACACTGAACGTAGGAGTAGAGAAACGTTTGTCATGTTATGACATGATAAGGAAGATCCAGGTGGTTGTGATGACATTGAAAAGTTCAGTTTCTTAATATTTACTTGGCTTTTTAAACCAAAGCGACCGATTCATCCGTAAATATTGTTTCATTTCTGTTTGTGTTCTGCCAAATTCCAGTAGTTTTTTTCATTTTAAATTTTTTTAAAGGGGAAAATATATTGTTTTTGGTCTAAAAAGGCCAAATATTCACATTAACTCACCACAGGGCGATACTCAAATAAAGTCTCATCTTTAAAACTCTTTAAAGGACCTTTCCAGGTTGTCCCCGTGCAATAATAGGTTTTCTGTGGATGCTTTGGTTTCATCCCACAAATAAAAACCTGCATGTAAGGTTAATTGTTAACTAATTTGTCTTTAGGTGAGAGAGTGAATGGTTGTCTTGTTTGTCTCCATGCGTCCCTGCGATGGACTGGAGACCTGTCCAGGGTGTCCCCTGCCTCTTCCAGTGACAGATGGACATGGACACCAGCGACCACAGCAAGCTGCAAAAGAAGAAGCGAGGTAGGTAGGATGGATGTTTGAGGCGCAAACACTGTTTTTACGAGTTTATCAGCTGTAAAAACCTGCTGCCATGCTGATTGACAGCAATATGTCAACTGCTTAAAACAAAAACTGTAATGAAACATTTTTCTTTAGGTTTGTACAACACACACACATCCATCCATTAACATTACTGCTAATTCTTTGTGGGCCATGGGGGTCACTGGTGCCCATGTCCAGCAGTTACTGCACGAGAGATGGGGTACATCCTGGACAAGTCGCAAGTCTATCACAGGGCCACAATATACAAACATAAATAAAACTAGAGCAAGTATATTTCCTGTGAAAATTCAGCGAGAATGCTTATTGCTGAAGAACTTGATGAAAAACAGACTTTGGTATAACTTTGCAGAAAGTAGCACAAAATATAGGAAAATAGCTAAAAAAAAAAAGATTTGCTGAAATTAGCAAAAAATAGCTGAAAGATAGCTGAAATGCAGAAAGAAGCTTAAACTACCAAAAGGAAGTGGAAATAGCTGAAAAGGCTAAAATTAGCATAAAACAGCTAAATGTAGCTGAAATAGCAGAAACAAGTCAAAACTAGCAGAAAAAGCAGAAAGGAGCATAAGAAGCTGAAATTACCATAAATAAGTTATAGGTTGAAAGTAGCAAAATAAATACCATGAAAAACTTGAATTTATCTGAAAACGGCTGTAATTAGCTAAAAAAAAAAAAAAAAAAACTTAAAAAAGTAGCTGAAAAGGTAGAAAAAGCAGAAGAAAGTAGAAAGAACATGTTTGCCAGATTAGGCTGAAAGAAGCATAAAGTGAAAATTATCTGAAAAAAGCTGAAATTAGCATAAAACAGCTAAACAGTAGCTGAAAATGACTAAGTTGAAACTTTCAGAAATAAGATGAAATTAGCATAAGATGAAATTAGCAGAAAGGAATTAGAAGAAGCACAAAAATGTTTTAATTAGCAGAACAAAGCTGAAAGAAGCACAAAACAGCTGAAAAAACACCTGAAATTAGCTGAAAAATGTCTAAATGTGCACAAGGAAGCTGAAAGAAGCTGAAGCAGAACAAAATGTGAAAGGAGCAGTAAGGTTGTAAACATATTTAAAGATATGAAGGAAATGAGCTCAATTAATTTTCTATGATATGAAAAGTGGCAGAAAATGCTAAATATTTCAACAAGCTAAAGTTGCACCAACACTAAAAGTCATAGGATTGTCCTGAAAGAACTGATGAACGTTTTGATATACGATTTGTTAAAATAGCTTAAACACTGCAGGACGAGAACCACGTCAAAAAATGTACGAAAGAAAAAATGGATCACAATAGTGTGAATGCTTTACAAGCGTTCACACTATTAATATATTTACTTCAGATCGTGTGTTCACCCTATAGGTACTCTTTAAAAAGATTATTAGCAAACTTTATTTTTTGATGTTTAACCAACCTGTGCGTTAAAAAATTCTGCATGTGATCGACGCACACAAATAAAAGTGGAAAAAACAAGGTTCCCTCTATGTAAGAAAAAATGGCCTCCAACAAGCACAGAACAGTAAACGGTGGACTCTCAGCACAATCAATCAGCTGAAGTAAAAATACCATATTTTTTGTACTATAAGGCGCAATATCAACAAATAGCTCTGTTTTCATACATGAGGCACACCGGATTATAAGGCTCACTGTCGATTTTTGAGAAAATTTAAGGATTTTAAGTGCAAAAACAGGTCTCAACTAAAAAAAGCCAAAAACACAGGTCTCAAATGGAAATGAGTCTTTGAGGCTCAATGTGATTTTTCTGTCTAAATAAAGGCTGAATGAAAAGCGCGCCTTATAGTTCGAAATATAAAGTAGGTGAAAAGCAGCTGAAGTCTGAAGAAAGCTGAGCGATCTTTATGAAGCCTGGAGACCTTTTGATCGAGACAACGTTAATGTTACAGGAAAGTCTGTGTTGGTGGAAAAATAAGAAGCAAACGGTGTGTGATTGAAAAACTTTTGCATAGTTCAGCATGCACTCTTATGAACAGTTTCTTTTGTACTAGTCACAAGTAAAACTAGATTCTTAACTAGCCCACACAAGTATCTTCATAGCACCAATCTCCAATAGAAATCCTGCTCAAGTACACACATTTAAAAAAACCATTATGTTGTACAGGACAGGGTGTTTCCTGCCTGATGCTAAATCTCCACCATCGTGGTGTTAGCGTATAAGCTAACTTGGTTACAGAACAATAGGCCGAGGGTTGTAAGGTCATTTAACAGGTTACATACATCATAGCGCTTAAAATCTAACTCTCTTGTGTTGAGCTTCTAGAAAACAAAAGTTGAACAAGACTCGGCATGAGTTTGTCCTCATCTCTCCTTTAGAGAATCCTTTTTGACACTTTGCACTCACACGACACAGCTAGAGGCCTGTTTAACCTCAGAGCAGCTTCATAAGCACACGGCTCTTGTTCTTGCAAAATAGTCTTTAAAACGGTTATTTTTTTGTGATAATCTGCTAACCCTTCCTTTGCATCTTTAGTTTTATTCGCACTCACGTCCTCAACACGCTGATCGTGATGGAGAACGCTGAGCCCCCCACCCCTCACTCAGGCCACCTCTCAAATACTTCAACAGAAAACATACAATTCGCCTCCCGGGGCTGTTCCCTCCCACACACACAAGATGGTTACTCGGAGATTTGGGAGCTGTGTGAGGAAGTTGTCGGTTTCAGAGAACCAGCGGCTGTCCCACAATTTCCTGTCTTGGCAATCATCCGTCTTCCCACTCAGCCTCCCACCCTCCATATCTGCCAGCTGCACGTATGAAGACGTCCCTCCACTTAACGAGAGGAAATGGAAGCCAAAGCTCAAACTTGATATTTGGCTAAACATGAGATGTACATTATTCCTAAATCAGATTTAAGCTTTAATTTGAGGCTTTTGTGCAGCTAAATATGTCTGTTTTCATGCTTTGTAACAGAATTGGAAAGAATTGTGATATAACCCCTCAAGTTAAGCAAGTTTTGGCTTCTTGAAGGGAAAAATAGTTAATTATGTAATATTTCATGTGGTGTCATTCCTTACTTTTTTTTAAAAAGATGCACTCTAATATGATTTATGTGACTTTTATTCAAACTTGTTGCAGAGATTTATACTTTTTTCTAACTTCTCCGTAAGGTAAAATGCACTTTTACGCAACATGGCTGCTTGAAGCACGTTGAACAGTCGCCTTCCTCATGCCTTCTGCAACATTTCCAGTCAAACCCAAGTAGCCAAACAGGTTGGCTCCTTCTTAGAAAAATAAAAACGCTGCATTTTCTGGTCAAGACAGAATTCCTCTGAAGCATTTCTTCATCCGCAGCGTAAAATGTGTCCACTGTGCTCCAGTGCAGTTTGCAGGCACAGGGGGGGCCTGTGCCCTGCGTCACAGAGGGGGGCTCAGGCAGGTCCAGATTAAATCCATCCTCTGAGGCAGAGGTTGTGGAGTTATGGAAGAAACAAAAAGAGCTTTCACTGTCCCTGGGCTGACTGTGTTGAGCATTCACAGCAAAAAAAAAAAACTGGTGGGTGTCAGAGAGGGACGACAATGTATTCTTGTTTTTTTCTACATTTGAAGATGTTTCAAATTGAAAAAAAAAAAAGTAATGTGATAATTAATGGGAGTAAAAATCATTCATTCAGTTGATTTGGGTGAGTTCAGAGTGACTCTTAACTTTTAGTTCTGGACCAACAACATATTTCAGATATCCGTCATAGATTAGCAGCAATGTTTGTGAGGTCAAACACCTCACATGTGACTGGAAGGAGTTCAACACATCCCAAAACGCAGAAAGTTAAAACAGAAACGCTTCAAAATGTGGCCCAATAATAAATAAATGACTAGGAAAAAAAAAAAGACTGGGAGATAAGAAAAGTTATAAAATAACCTAAAACTTGAAGGAACATGTGATTGACACAATTTATAAAAGTGTATTAGTCGTTATATGATTGACAGGCAGGTGCCGCGTGTTTGCGCAATCACTCCTACCTTGTAGACCTTCCCAAACGCACCGTCGCCGAGCTCTCCAACTATCTCCCAGATGTCATTTGGGTTGACGTCCCGATGGACGTGCTCGTACTGCTTCACTTTCTTTTTGGTGTCAATCCGGAGGATTTTACTCAGCTTCGCGAAAGGCATGATTTAGTCTGCGTCAACCCGAGTTCAATAAAATTAAACGCTAAAAACAATCAGTCGCTTTGGATCTCGGGTTTTACGCACGCAGGAGCGCGCCGCCTGTCAGAGAAAACTTTTATCTTTTCTTTCCGCTTTAACAAAACAAACTAAACAAAAGAGATAAAAAGCAGGATTGAAGAAGTTATTCTACTCCATCCATCTTAAACTCCAGATCTGCTGGTTCTAAGGTGAAACCGAGTCATGATGATCCTTTTTTGGAAGCTGCGCGCTGACCACCTGCCGCTGCGGACGCACGGATGGAGTTGCTGCCTGCCTGAGTGTCTGAGCAACTTGTTGATTGAGACTGAGCGACGAAGCCCCACCTTATTTCTCAACTGTCCTCCCAGTGCTGTCAGGGAAATGTAGTCCTCTAAATGTGCGTCATCATGGTGTCGATGCGGCGGAAGGACTTCACTTCCGGGTTAGTGCTAGCAGCGTCGGCGGGGTTAGGGTTAGGGTCATTTAACATTTAATAAAGCCGGGTGTAAAACATTTAATAAAGTTATAACAACTCCACAGGGATAACTTTATTAGTTTTCTGTAATCACACCAATCCACTGTTTTTCAACCGTTCATTGTTAGTTAGTTAGTTATATTTAATTTAGGAAAGTTTTAGACTTAAAAAAACAGAGTTATACGGTCGATAATGTATTCAGTTATTTATCAACTTTCAGTTTAGTTCAAATTTAAAATGCATTAAATGTTGGTTACCTGTTTACTTCACGTGTCACTTTTCTGTAGTTAGAGAAACACTCCCCTCTAGTGGACATTTATATCAACACACTTAAAAAGCCAAGTCCAGAC